TCTCAGTACTTATTCAATGTCCCAAGGTATATTCTTGTTCTCTTATATATATATAATTCTTCCTCATTTAATATACTGCATTGAAATTTGGGGTAACACAGATTCGACTTTTCTGCAACCACTCTTGCGCCTACAAAAGAAATTAGTCCGTCTCATTACTTTTTCAGATTTTCGTGCACACTCTGCCCCATTGTTTCGTTCTCTTGAAAATTCTTGACATCTACCAACTTTGTAAATTTCACTCTTGTTTTCATTTTCGACTTAATGAATAATCGTTTTGCATACTGTCATTAGTTTGACAGCCCTTCTCACAATCACCCTACACAGCTATCTTCCAGTGGTAATCTATGTCTTCCTACAAAAAATCTAACTATTTCTCAGCATAACTTGAAATTTGCTTCTGTGAAACACTGGAATTCATTAAAGTTCACACTTAAAATTTCTGCATTTAAAAGATACGAGTTTCAAACTAACTTATATTTCTGACAATATGTTTATGCCAAGCACACAATGGGAGTCTTCGCAGTTAGTGTGTCTGTATGTGTGTGTGTGTCCGTCTGTCCCAGTGATATCTCAAGAACCATACATAGGTTTTTGATGAAACTTGGTGCATAGATGCTCTGGGCCAATGCGCAGATTTGATTAGGTTTTGGTAGAAATTTGCATGATAATTAGCTCATTTTTAGCTGTTCCATGACTGTTCCACTGATATCTAAAGAACCGCGCATTGGACTGTGATGAAAATTGGTTCATAGATGCTCTGAACTAATGCCAGGTTTTGATTAGTTGTTGGTGAAAATATGTACATATTAATTACCTAATTTGCATAATGATTAGTAAATTTTAAGCTTTTCCACTGATTTCTCAACTACTAATCATCACATTTCAATGAAACGTGGTACCTAGATGTCATAGGACACTGCACAGACCTGGTATTATCAGTACATATAATTTACCTAATTTGCATAATAAATTAATTGTCAGCTTTTGATAAGTAGTAAGCATTACATTTCAATGAAACATGGTACATAGATACTCAAGGACTATGCAGAGATAGATTATTTTGGGATAAATATTTGTGCATATTAATCCCCTAATTTGCACAATTAGTTAATTTTCGGATTTTCACGTATATCTCAAGTACTAATCACCACATTTCAATGAAACTTTGTACATAAGTCCTCCAGGACTAAGCAGAGATGCGATTAGTTTTGGGCTAAATAATTGTGCATGATTAATCAATTTTCAACTTTCACACTGATATCCTAGGTACTATTCCTAACATTTCAATGAAACTTTGTACATAGATGCTCTAGGACAATGTACAAATATGATCAGTTTTGGGTTAATATCTGTTCATATCAATTCCCTAATTAGCATAATAATTCATAATTTGTTGGTTCTGATCACATTTCAATGAAACTTGGTACATAGATGGTATGTTACATTGCGCAGACCTTATTAGTTTTACACTCAAATTTGTTCATTTAAATTTTCTGATTTGCATAATTAGTTTTCAGCTTTTCCATCAATATCTCAAGTACAAGTAATTTTGAATTAATTTTTACTCTGTCTCTAATACTCTCAGCATACACGAGTTCTTTATAAGCTTTCTTTGATTATCCTTTATCATTACACATTACATTGTTAATATTGTGTACATATTTGACGTTACATGCCTTGATACATATTTCTTTAATAAACCACCACGTCATTGAAATCATTTATTTTATCAAGCCACGGTCTCACACGAGACTAGCTCCCCAGAGCTATTTCTGTGACCGACACCAGAAAATTTGTTACTCTTTACATATGAGTAATATAATTTTATATTGTACAATTTCATTTATAGTATCTGGTGTAAATAAATACAAATATAAGAATAGGAAGAAATACTTTTGATTTGATTATTAACTTTCTGAGGAAAACAGGAGAACACAAAACAGACAATGGCGGAGATGATTGGATTTGAAAACATAAAATAAAGGAATAAAATATACGTTTTTAGGTCTCAAAATCAGAAATTGTACATTTCAACATTTTATTGTGTGTAAATAGTTGAATCATGTTTGGTAAAATACACAAAATACACGAGGGCGGCAATGTTATCAATTAAGGCAATGTAATGATAACATTCTAAAATGTCTAAATCTACACTAAGTAAATCACTTACTCCTAAGCGGAGGGTGCGTGGGGCTTGGAATATGATATTGTTGAATATTTTCAAAACCCACCACTGGCGTATATTGTGAAGGAAATCCAATACCTCGAACATAATTTGTATGCAAATTCTACCCACCGTCATTGCGATTTATAGATTGTGAAAGACTATTATAGGGGATGGTGGTGGTGAAAAAGCAATTAAAGCGCTACAGTCGTCACGCATCGCGTGTTCGAATTCATGTAAACAAACAATGTATTTTACACATGACGTATACGTCGACATGAGTCCCATATCGACCACGACGCAGTGTGACGACTTTATTGTTTCAAATTGGTGCAAAGGCATCTTGCAGCTCAAGCACCACACGTCAACCGTCAACGTAAATATATGTTTGTTATGAATATTAAAAATATTATTATATATCATAATCGTTATTATGTTATCGGTTGAACAAAATTTATAATCAATAGTCATCAATCAATCAATAGGCCAAATTAGTAATATTACATTATCAGTTATTTATTACATTATGATTTGCTATTACATTATCAGTTGTAACACATTGATACCAATTATGTATGTATTCTATATATGTATTACTTTACAAATTACAATATCACGATTTTCCTGGACATCGGATATAGAAATTAATTTTGCAATTCAGGAAAATAATGCTACCCTTGCACATACATGAAATACATGAGTATAACAAATAGTTAAACAAAAGCAAACAATTACTGAATTTTGCATTTTCACGATTTTTTAATTAAAAACACATGTGTGAAATATATGTGATATAAAATATGGCTAGACTTCACATTTTGTTAATGACTGGTATCACTATTATAAAAATGAACATATTTAGGCATATACATTGTATATATAATCAGTATATTCAAATCATGACGTGGATTATTGCACATATTTTAACTACTGTGCAAATACTTTAATACAATTATTCCCAGTATCAGCTACTACAACCTTACCAAATGGTTTATCATTAGTGACACAGATACCACGGGGACTACTCAACCCATCAGTAGGACTATCAATACGACATACAAATTGACCATGGGAGTCATACTTCTGAACCCTATTATTATTGTAATCACTCACATACACATATCCTTCTGTATCAGTAGCTACACCCCTAGGATACTGTAGCTGACCATCAGAATTTCCACGACTTCCAAACTTGAATAGAAATTCTCCTTCACCAGTCAGTACTTGTATACGGTGGTTCCAATTATCTGCCACAATGACATTACCTTGACTATCACTAGTAATTCCATGAGGATAAATAAACTGACAATCTCCACCACTCTGTGATCCGAATGACTGTATGTATCCTCCATCTTGGTTGTAAATTCTTATATAATGGGAATTATTGTCAACAACGTATACTCTTCCATTTACAGGATTAATACAAATACCAGCGGGATAAGTAAGTTGCCCATTGCCAAAACATCTAATTAGTTCAAAATTACTATTACATACAACTACTTGTTTGTTATTACTGTCTGTTATGAAATAATTACAATCCTGTGACTCTGCAACGCAACGTGGACAGAATGGTTCATTAAAACCAGTGAATTGAATTATTTGTTTATGTTTTCCATCCAACGTCAGTAATTGAAGTCGATTATTTTTACTGTCACAAACTAATACATTTCCATCACTGGCTATCAGGACATCCCAGGGACTATTAAACTGGCCCAATCCTGACCCTTTTCCACCATAATTACCCATCAACCCCTTCGTAGGAATTGCATTAATCTTAACAGGTGAACCCTGCACTGATTTGTTATTCACTAAAACTGTCAATTCATGCACCCCTTCTACCTTAGCCTGATATGCCAGACAACAAGTGCCATCTTTATTGTCAGTTACTTTCATTTCTTCTGTCGTGTTTGATGGAGTTTTTATTGCGCATTGGAACTTCTGATTCAATGCCAGAAAGTCTACCATAGTACCATCACTAGTTGCCAAGGTTACTGACGCATCCTCCCTAATCCTGACATATTCAGGAACATCTCTTATCTCGAAATTATATTTATTGTGAAGTATCACTCCGAGGGTTTTGGTCTCACAGAAGTCATCAGAGCTTTGAAACTCGATGTAGTCATCTTCAGTTGGATCTTGTTGTGTTTCTAGTTTTATCAATTTCTTAATCTGTGACGTCATCCCCTTCTTTGTAAACATCAGTTGTGTAGCATTCCCATAATTCATCAGGTTAGTGGCAAAGTCACGTGCATGTTTCACATCATTTTCTGCAATTTCCAGTTCTTTCATTTGCGCATGCAAATTTTGTTTTCTCTCACTGAATAAATCGTTCAATGCTTGCAGTAACTCTGCTCCATTTACACGAATTTTAGCAGTGATTTCCGCCACCACTCTCTCAATATGAGCATTTAGTTTATGTTCTTCTTGACTAAATCGATTCTCTAGCAGTTCTGTCATCTGCTGAACCTTTTCTTTGCTCTCTTTTGCATCTTTTTCTTTCTCTGCTAGAATGCAAGTCATCTTGGTCAAATCGGTGGTGTATTGTTCGGCGGCGTCATTCAGATATCGGTAATTATGTTCAGTTATTTTATGATTTATGACAGTACACTCTAAGCAAATTGGAATATCACAGCTATCACAATAAAATTTAAGCTGGTTGTCAGGGTGACTACTGCAGTATACAGGTGGTTGAACCGAAGCAATATCAGCAATCATTGCAGCCTCGTACGCTTGGAGTGACATTACATGGTGGGACTTAGTACACGGAAGTTGTTTATGTGGCAAAGTACAATTGTCACACAGCCCTACAGCACAATCAATACAATATGTGGTTACCGACCCTTGCTGACACCCTCCGCATTTCTGAACGTAGTTTGTCTCTTTGTCTCGTTTTCCAAGTAGCACCACCAACTCGTTTACAAAGACGTTCGTCTGTACACTGCTGGCTCCTTCTGGGAGGTCATGAACTCGTCTACACACTGGGCAGGGTAAATTCTTACCTCCCGATTTCTGTACCAGTTTGTGGATACACTGCTCACAGAAACTGTGCAGACATGGTAGAATCTTGGCATTGCGATATCTCTCAGAACACACCGTACAGACGAGAAAGTTGTCATCGAATTGTTCAAGTATTTTCGATTCTACTGAAACCATGACGGGACGTGTGTATAACTAATACACTCTCTGCGTATAAGGGTCATTACTTGGTCACATGACGTGTTTACTAAGAATTAACTGACAGCCAATTTACCGAGAAAGCGTTGTTGATATGAACACGTGATATAGGCGTTACACAGTTTGCTTTGGTATTTGACAGAAATGTATATTAGCACCACTGGTATTAAACACAGGCGCTCGGTATGTTTCTGTGATAATAAAAGAAATATCGCCGGGCGATCGACCCCTATTGTATATTTCTTTTATTATCACGGAAACATACCAAGCGCCTGTGGTATTAACCCCCCCCCCCAAAAAAACAACTCATATTTATTTATTTTATACAAGACGTACTCTCCGCGTAACAAAGGCATTCCCTTCATTTTTACAAATTTCAATGGCAGTTGAATCAAACCAGACAGTAAGTAATAAACGACGTCATTTTAAAACGTTCCAATGTTATTCAATCAATCAATAGAATTCTCGCATTTCAATTTTAATTATGAAATTTATAAAAATTTATTAAAGATGAATGGAATGCCTTTGTTGCGCTATTAGTTGGTACCTATTTGTGAAATGAACTTTGAACTCAACCTCACAATCTTTTACATTGCAACTTGGAAGACGCAAGTTAATTATAGATACAATATAGAGAAAACATACAATATACTTCATGATGCAGAACACATTGTATTATGATTTACCAACTAAAATGATTATAAACTAAAAAAATAAAATAAACTAAAAAAAATTTGCTTTGCAGCACACATTATTAAAATCAAAACCACAACTACGCATGCGCAGTACAATACGTACCAAAACAAGTGAACATGCGTAGTAGAAAATATCTTTGTTTCATCGAATGAATTTTCTACCAGGTCATGATAATTAACAGTCCAATGTATTGAGCCACAGCATCAAATAACAACATTAAAATGACATATTCTCGTTCATAATTGCCTAATTTGCTTTCCATCAATTTTTTTAAGAATTAATCATCACATTATAAAGAAACTTAGTACACATGTGCCCTGGGACAATACACATACTTAATCAGTTTGCAATTAAAATCTATGCATAATAATTGCTTAATTTGCATAATAATTAATCATTTTTTTCAAAACCAATTATTGCATTTCAATAATACTTGTTATAATACTGCTTGTGAATAATGCATCATTAAATATCACTACGACAAAGACTTTCCGTTTTCGACATTGTGAAATTATTTCGTTTTGGGGAGAAAAACCCCTGAAAAATGATTTAAATTGAACTTGTGTTAGACGTGCTTTGGAATAAATTATACTGAAAACGACAGATGTAAAATCAAATGCATTATATTATTATAGACTTCAATAATGTGAATCACATTGTTTTCAGGTATTTATCTCATATAACAGACAAATATTAATTGCCAAGCTTCTTCTTTGGAAGGCTAATTCATTTTTAATATGTCCCTAATACTCTCAGCACACGGGAGTTCTTTCTAAGCTTTCTTATCAGCTTTGATATCAGTTGAGTTAATACCGAGATTTAAAAAGAGAGGCGTGCCAAACGTTTAGAATACTACGATACGACAAATAATATGTTCAAGAATGAAAAAAATGCACTATTTTCAAATTTTGCTGAGTGAAAAGGGACATCAAATAAAGAACAAAGCACAAATAAAAAGGATGGATACCCCAATCCGAACCACGTGACTCAGCTTGGCATGTCACTTGACTAAAACTTACTCCAAACCTCTACTTTGTCGGATTAGTCAATCTGTCAGCGATGCGATTCTGGGTGTTTTATATAAAGGTGTTAAGACATTATCAGGAAATTTGTTAGCCGCAATCCTAGTAGAGTGACTGTGGCCGCAATGCTTTTATCAGGGGGAAATTCTTTTCCTCGGGGTCTCCACACTTGCCAGGGGGGAATCTCGTCTCGTCTGTCTATCTCGTCCCCTTGAGGTACGGGATCGGGAAAGTCACTTATACTTTACAGTCAAATAAGACACACACAACGAAATACGGTTCAACTCTCGTCTTAGTCGGTCAATCGAGCACTCTATAAGACACGGCGCCCTGGGGAAAAGTCCCCAAGACTCTCGCAAGGCTGACCCAAGACTAGCCCAAGACTGGACTGCCTCAAGGCTCGCCCCTGGACTGGACTCGACTGCGTCTGTCGTGGAGTACTCTCCAAGACCAACTCAAACTCTCTTTATTCATTTTCAAAACTCTAACCAATTACAAAGCAGTAAAAAGACTCTAAGGCGTAACCTTCAATCATAAAGCCAATCACACTAAGTACTGT